TCATAAACACAGTATCATCAGGTAAAGTGAGCTGCAGTCACCAGCAGGAGACAGATGGAGCCGTTTGCTTTAGTTTGTCTGACATCATGCTAACGGTTACAAAAAAATCTGCATAGCTGAACACTTGTGTTTGTTGCTTCAGTAGAGAACAAACTAGGCAACAAGGGTCTTAATTGGACTCTGAGCAATAACAGAAGAGCTCTGATGGCTAACATTTTTTAAGACTGGGTTTAGCCAATGAAATGGATGGTTCTGTGTCCAATTGTTAATGTATGCTTCATAACAGCTTTTGTAAGAGTTGAACTTTCAAACAGGTATAAGTTTTATTCTTAATTTTACTCTGGTTTCAGATTAGAAAAGCCACTGAATAAAAGGATGGTTCTACAAATAAAAAATGCATAGAAACTAAAGGCAAGTGAAAGACAAAATCGGGGTGACTGTGGGGGAATGTTTTGTCTCCTGACTTCTTTTTTTTTTTTATCCTCTTCTTCAGGGTGGAGGCTGGGAGTTCACCCACTCGCCCCACTACCAATAACCCCCTCCTCCCCTTCTCTGTCCTCCCTCCTGCTTTGGCTAGTCTCCATGTGCCGGGCTCAGGGCCTTGGGAATGAATGGTGCCCCGGCTCTGCTCCGTCTTTGAAGCCAGCCAGGAATGCGAGGCCTCTTCCCCCCCCAACCCCCTTTCTGTTGTTCAGGCAGTCAGCAGCTCTAGCAGCTATCTGCAGCAGTGAAATATTCCCTCCGCTGCGCTCATTGTGCATCGGAGCGCTGGACGTCATCGCCTGGCCAATCAGTGGTTCTCGCTAGGCAGCCTTGGGTCTCAGTGGGGGGAGAACTAGACCCACTAGAAGTCTTCCCTCTAATATCTGGCTCTCCTGGTAACTTGGCCTGGTCATTCTTAGGAGAAGAACAATGTTCTGAAACCGAAACGAGGACGTAAATCATTTGGCTAATCTGCTTTTAAGATTAGACTTTAGAGACAAGTTTCCTTTTCAGATGGGAATCAGGAAAGTGAGTGACTTGGACTCGGAGTTTGGGTGAGTGTTTCTTTTTTTTTCCAAGTTTATTTTGCAGCCTGTTGTTTCAACCTAATTTGCATAGCTGTTGTCCGAGTGATTCCCTGTGTGCCTCACAGTTGTGGCTCTTGATCCCGTGTTCCAACCTGTGTTCAGCTTTCCGGCTGTCATCGGTCACTTCTCCCGTCTCCTCTTCTCCTGTGGTTTGCGTGTGAGAGTATTTGTCTAGGCCAGTCACCCTCATTCTCACCCGCCCTCTTCGCTTCGCTCCTCTCTGTACATTTTGTCACTGCTTGTCCCCTCTATCACTTCCACTTGAACACACCCCTGTTTGGGAGACTCTCTCTGTTCTCGGAGGAGAGAGTAAGGCTGGATACTGCAACCCACATACACACACAAAACAGACTACCGGTGCATATCAAGGCCCTTCATAAGCGCACTGAATCCTTGTTTCACAACACTTGCAAGGAGGAATTTGTGTGTATGCAAAAGGAGCACCTATAACTACGTTTGATTCAACTTTTCAGCCTAGCTAAAAAAAACTTAGGAGGCTAAAAGTGTTTTCAGTTGGTTTAGTTTTAGCATAACTACAATAGTATTTGTTTGACAGAAATCAGAAGATGCTGAACAAATTCAGGATGTGATCAAGGTTTCTTGCTGTTCCCATCACTGACGTGACGTAATATTGGTACTGCACTGTCACTGTTTTTAATAACTGGTTGCCTTTGGCTTTGTTTTACTAGCAACATTTACTTTTGTGTAAGCATGACAAGTATGCTGCTTCAGTCTTTATTGCAAAGTCAAGAGAAGGCATGTGGACTATGGTAGAGTCCTGTCATTAGTCTTAAACCTATCATTAACTCCCAGGATCTTGTTTCATTACCAACACTGTTGTTTTAGTTGGTTTTTGATAGCTGTTAATGACAGAGTTTTCATACATTAGAAAGTTGCTAGAATGCAATGCCTCCAATGTATAAAATTTTTGTTTTTCACTTGAACAGAACTTAATAAACATGTCATGCACATTTGTCCCATTCTGATTAGTTTGACACTCATTTAGAATGAGACAAATGCTTTTTTATTCTTCATATTACTACTCATACAGCAGGTTAGACAGTTTTGGTTTCCAAATAGTTTGCAAGCAGATTTTATAGCTTGAAATACGCTTGAAATGTTTTTCTGGAATATGGGGTTTGCAGTTCTTTTTTTATAGCTACTTCACTCTCACGGCTTCAAACAAATTCTGTTTACACTGAAAGTTATAATGGGTGCTGCATACTTAACAGAAACTTCTTAAATACAATTTTTAGGAAGTTGTGGAACACAAAAATAGAAAGCAAAATGTCTCAAAAAAGGAAAGTTAGGGTCTTATATTTGTTCTACATGCCTGAATACTGTATTAAAATTCCTAATGCAGATATCACATGACTAATCCCCACATATTTCAAAAATTCTTTCCATTTGTTTCATGAGTGTGCTGCGTTGTGCACCATCAACTTTAATAATTCCATCAACCTAATGATAGATGTATAATTAATGGTTATTGATGCACACAATCTCCTTGAGCAGCTGGTTAATGAGGCTGACCTATAAAAGAAGGCAGCAGTAAAATGTTTTAATAATGGGGGGAAAAAAATCACAAAAATGGCTTAATATATAGGACTTGTGTAGTAGCATTCATAGTATAATAGTTTGCCATAAAATTAATATTCTAAAAATGTCATGTTCTATTAGGACTGGCCGAAACGGTCAAAACTTTTATCATGATACAATTCTTAATTTTGGTCTAACGATATAATTCGATATCGATGTATACAATATAAAGCCTCAGAAAAACTGTACAAACTACAAATAAATTAATGTTCACCTTTTATTTGTATTTAGCCTTCAAAGAAATTTGAAATCACCGTCAAATAAACATAAAACACTCAACTTTGTCAATATTAATAGTGTTAACTTTAAACAACATAACCCTAACCCATGCACCAGACATTTGCTGCATTTGTTTCTCTTTTGATACAGCTGGGGGTGTTGTTTCAGGGACACGCTGGCTCAAACTTTTATTGTGCTTCATCTTCTGACTTGGCATATTCTATCAAGTGGAAACTTCAGATGGTGAAACAAGTTACATGTGTCACTGCCAGTTGGAACGACTCTCCGGCACATTTTTCAGCGCACTGACTGAAACCTGCAATTTATCAGATCTTAGATAACCAAACCACTTCCACACCGCCAAATTAGTTATTCCTCTTATCAATTATGTCATCTGCTTTCTCTTCGCTTGTGAAAGCTTGTTCAGTCACATTCTGACGGTCATGGGCACTCATTTTGATGCAAAAACTTACAGCACGTTGTAGATTAGCCTAACCTGCTATCGCTATCTCCTTCTGGACTCGAGCTGTACGTAACATCTGCGTCACCACGCACTTGCGTAGTTGCGTCGCGGCTTTTTCTGTTCGGGTTGAAACTGAAGCGGCCGCTTCAACCCAAACGGAAAAAGAAATGCGTCAGTGAAACGCTGTAATCATATCGAAATATCAAAAATGTGCTTTAAACACATATCACCGTTATTGAATAAAAGTATATCGCGACATATATCGATATCGAATTATTGTCCAGCCCTATTCATTCAACCTTTATTTATACAGGTTAATCCCATTGAACCTCGGGGACTCATTTACAAGAGACCTGAATTTTTTAACAAAGCGTGATCACAACAGTGGACAACAAAGACAACAATAGACAATCTTTTTTTTTTTAACAAGTTAAAATAAAATGGCAACCAAAAGGACAATCAAAAGGAAAAGTAGCAAAAAACAGCTAGATTATGTTATCGATGTTATGTTACCTATGTTGTATTTATTAGTTTGTAAATGTAAAGAAATAATTTAATATACCATAATCTCAGCTGGTTTTGGAGAACCATTTTCTTGTGTTTTAAGTTCTTAGATACCCAAAAGGCAACCTTTCATTTAAGCTTTATTTAGACTGGTAAATCCCGTTGAGCCTCGAGGACTCTTTTACAAGAGAGACCTGAATTCAACAAAGAATGATGACAACAATGGACAACAGCGACAAAACCTGTATTATTTATAACCTGTATTTGGTGGTGTCTTGATGATTTGTTTTTACAACATATAACAGGTGGAGCAAAATTTCTCAAGAGTGGAATTTGACCTATAAATGTCCATCCATCCATCCATCCATCCATTATCTTTACCCGTTTATTCCATTTTGGGTCACGGGGGTCGCTGGTGCCCATGTCCAGCAGTCACTGTGCGAGGGGCAGGGTACACCCTGGACGAGTCCATCACAGGGCCACATAGAGACAAACGAGACAAACAACCATTCACTCTCTCACTCACACCTAGGGACAATTTAGAGTTACCAATCAGCCTAACATGCATGTTTTTGGTCTGTGGGAGGAAACCGGAGTACCTGGAGAAAACCCACGCATGCACGGAGAGAACATGCAAACTCCACCCAGAGGGCCCCTGGACCGGGGTTTGAACCAAGGACCTGCTCACTGAGAGGCAGCAACTCTACCAGTTGCGCCACCGTGCTGCCCCCTATAAATGTCAGCTTTTTTAAAATATATCAGTGATGCCAAATTATTACATCCTCAGTGTCCGAGTTAAATGCACTTTACAAATGCAAATACAGATAGTTATACAGAAAGGTAGCTCATGTTGACTTAGAATTTTCTGCCAGGCATGTACCATAGTTCAGATGAAAATGGGAGTATTTGTCTTTGATATTAAAGTGAGAATCATTAAACTGGTGTGAGTTCCAAGCTGATAATCTAAAACAAAGGTGAGTGTTTTGCATATCACTCAAGCATGTCGGCCTTTTTCCACTTTCCGTTTGAGAACCCATGTTTTAGCTGGTCATATTACTTTGAAGCAGTTTACCTAAGATGTGTGACTGAACCTTAGTTAAGATTTTAGTCTAATAACCAGTCTTTGTTTGTGTTTTCTCTACCAGGAGCAGACTGTTTCAAGAGGCTTTAAGAGTCAAGAAAAATGACATGATCTGGGACAAATGTAACAACCTGGTGCAAATGTATTGATTATAATTTTTTAAGTTTCACCAACAAGGAGGACGCATGCATCACCGCATAAACACATACAGAATTTTTACAAACCCCGCCCTTCTCTTCCTGCCATTTGCCTCATTCCTTCATGGAATCCTACAGCTTTCACTTTGAGAGAATGAGCAACGTGGACCTGCATCCTCTGAGCCTGCCAGTCAGCCGGCTTTCAACAGCCAAGTCCAGCAGCAGTATCGCTGAACATCTTGCCCACCATCAGCACGGCAAGGGAGACTCTGCCTACAGCTCCTTCTCTGGTGGGTCCACTGCCCCAGATTACCCCTCTCTTTTTTTGCCAGACGACCTACAATCCAGCTCCTTCAGCAATTATGTTGACCTTAAATATGTAAAGTCCCTTTACCACCCTGCCCAGGTTCTGCAGTCCAACTCAAAGACTATGGATCAGCTCTATCATTCAGTTGAAGCTATCTCACAGCAATATCACAACGCTAATGTCAACCATCATAGCCACAACGGCAATGAGAGTCTCCACACCGACAACAAAGCACACTCTAAACAAGAGGTGCATTTAAGGACTCAGTCCCATAGGGCTCAAACTCCTCCCCATCCCCCTCCAATTCCAGCACGCCTTGATAGTTTCATTGCTACTAAAAACTTGGAGAACAACAGGGTTCACACTCATGGTACTGAATTTCAACCCCTGCAACTACAATCTCAACAACAGCTTAAACCCCATAATCGACTTCATTCCCAGAATGCGAGTTCCCCAAAATCAGATGCAGGAAGCCCAGAGATGGGCAGATTAAGTTCTGACCCATTGTATTCAGTATGGAAAGGCTCTCAACAGGAGCATTCACCAATCTACCGACCACACTTCCAGCTTCATGATCAGACCAGGGTGAGCCCAGAACAGATTTCTATTGCTGATTACAAAGCTACCCCAGAGCAGCAGAGGTCAGCAAGCAACCTGAGCCGATCATCTCCTCAAGGCACAAACCAACCTGAGCAACCGATGCCCAAACAGCCCTTGGGCGGTGCTGGGTGTAATGGAGACCATCACAACAAATCCAGTAGCCATTTTGAAAGTGAGTGCAAAAAGGCACAATTGACTCAAGAACAGCATGGTTCAGAGCTGACTCGAGCTGCCAGTCCCTGGAACACTAGTCCAAGTTTGCTCAGCAGTAGCATTCAACATAAGGGCCAATTCTATTTTGTTACGGGAGTGTGTAAGCCTTCTGAATCTGGTTTGAGGACACACTCTTCATCTGTCAGTGGCTTTGAAGCGGAAAGTGACGCCTCTATTTTGTTAAAGACCCATCGCCTCCGAGAGAAAGAGAGATGTCACAGCACAATGGATGATTTGTTTAGACGAGACAGATCATACTCCTCCGGCAGCGCAGTTCAAGATGATGAGGTTTTTATTTCTGCATCTCAGAGAAAGAACTTGCCCTTCAAGAGCCAGGAGCCAGAGAATTACAAACCACCCCTCGTCTTGGCCCAGTCCTGTCAAAGCTTGGAGACAGAAGAACGTGAGATTGGTCGCCACACTGCCAGCAACCCTATATTTTACTGTGGACCGGACAAAAAATGCCCACCACATTCAGCAACCCACAAAAAGGACATCTGCTACACCAAGAACGAGGATCGTGCAAAAAGAGGGAAGCGGCAGCCCTTGGCGGATGTTGCCAGTGAGAGGATAAACAAAGAAACAACCCCACTTCTGTATCACCTCACTGGAGCCAGCAGGGCAGTGACACAGCCTAAACAGGATCCTGGTTTCCATATAAATGGCAACGAAGTGGACCTTAATGAAACAAACCTAGAAGATGTAGCAATAAATGATAATGAAAACCCCGCGCAATATGACACTAGCAAGCATGATAGAGGAGCTACTACACCCATTCCCTGTAGCACTCTAGATGATTCGTTTAAAAAGTACTACAAGGAAAAGCTGAAAGACGCTCAGTGTAAAGTTCTAAGAGAGACGTCGTTTAAAAGAAGGGACCTGCAGCTCTCTTGGCCGCACTGTATGAAGCAAAAACCAGAGTTCAGGTCTGCAGTTATTCACTCGTTCTCCTCATCACAGGACTCTGAAACTTCCACAGCCACCCTCACTCCTTCAGTGACATCTGAGGAGACAGAGAAGGGGAGCATCAAGGAAGAAGGTTGGGAGGATCAAAAAGAGATTAATAAAATGACAGACAAGGAAAATGATAGGCCAGCAAAAGTGGCCCAACCCCAGGTGGCACGAATTGGAGGCAGGAAGAGACTGACTCCAGAGCAGAAGAAGATGTGCTTCTCTGAGCCGGAAAAACTCAACTTGATTGGCAGCGCACCGGTCCACATAACTTGTCGTTCTTTTGGGGATGAGAGCAAATATTTGTTTGCAACTGAGTATGAGGAAGAGGAGCCAGAGCAGCAAAGAGAGCATGGACTAGTTGCAGCAAGAAGAAAGATGTTTGAGACAAGAGGTCGAGCTCTGTCAGCCTCGAGCTCCTCAAAGACAAACCTGAAGCATATGCAACACAAGGCTCTGGTGGAGTACATGGAGCGTAAGACGGGCCAGAAAGTGGCAGAGCCCCAGCAGGCAGTGCCTCAGTTACCACCTCCACCCAGACAGAGACACTCGCTTGGGGAAAAACCATTTGACTGGAGTCCTCAGTCACTATCGGGAAGTCAAGAAATTAAAAACATGAAGAAGCAGAACAGGCCTCACTCAGCTGGCCGGATCTTGGACTCCCCCAGCAGCTCTATCAGGTACAACAGATTACCAAACACTGGAGAACTGTATCTGTTTTTGTGTCAATACTAATATGGATTTAATCAGGCATTTTTAAAATACGTTTTCCACTTTGAAGCACTTTGATAACAGTTACTGTTTTAAATGTGCTATATAAATAAATGTGACTTGAGTTGACTTGACTTTCCCAAAACAGGTATGCCCAGTTCTTCTCAGCACAGTCCTGCTCAGGTCATTATGCTGGCCGTCAGGTTTCATCCAAAAAAAGGGAGAGTCATGGTCCATCTCAGGGAAAGTCGGCCTCAGCAGAGAGTTTGTTGGATCAGCATGAACCAGCTGGTTTCTTCAGGAACCGCTCCATATCCACACCACATTCATTTCAGGTACAAATGTCTCAAGTCGTTTATTTAATCCTGAAATGCCTCACCTTTTATCTCAAGCTCACAAGTCAAGCTCTGATAAAAAGAATATTTTGCTTGTAAATCAAATTTCTAGAAGATAAAATTACAAACGAACAAAACTAAGTCTTCGGATTCAGATGTGCCTCATAGTTTATCATTGCTACTTTGTGTCTGCAGGCACATGACCATAATGAGGATTCTCTGCTACCTAACACTATGGAAACCCAGAGGTATGTACCAGAGCTTTAGACAAATGGGGACAATTTTATTGTTTTTTAGGTCACAAGAGTATTATGTCAGTATTGTGAGCACCATGGCACAGACCATAAATCTCAACTTGATTCATTGTGGCACGGAGAAGTCAACGCTCACCTGCTCCAGCTAACAACATTCCTTAAAAGATTTACTCAGTGACCATACAAAACAAATAATAGATTGAGACATTATCAACAAACTGGCCTATTTTTCATAAGTGCTTGGATTTATATATATATATATATATA